AAAGGCGCCTGGTTTGGGGGTGGGCTTGTTTGGACAATGCAGCGCTCCACTGAGGGGGGAGTTCCTCCAGTTCTGGGGCTTGAATTTCACAGGATGGTTTTCTTGGAACTAAAAATTGACAACGAAAAGCATCGTTAGGAAAAATAAAGGGGAAAAGAAACCCCAACGCATTTGTTTGTGTTCGAGGCATCACCAGAGGCGAGAGGAGAGTGAGATGCGGTTGGGATTTAAGTAACACATGTGTGAGATCTCCCCCTCCGCCCCCTCCCCAAACAGCTGGTATTTAGCAGCTTGAGATTTAAACCCCGCTCAAGGGTGCTGCAGGGGGCTGCGATAGGGTCAGTTAATCAAGAAGCAAATAACTGGCACACAGCGTAAAAGAGGTTAAATATATTAATGAATTGCAGTGCTGAGTGTTGCCTGTAATTTTTTTTCAGCTGTAAAAGATTTTCTTAGCTGTAAATTCATGTTCTGTTGTATAAATGGGAAGTTTTGCCTGTGGCATCTTTCCTCGTTCTCCCTCTTGCTTTCCAGCCAGGCCAAATCCCAACACTGTCTGCTCTGGGGTTTGGCTGAGGGCTTGTGCCTTCACTTTTGGCCTTACTTTTGGAAATAAAGCCTTTGTTTCTCTTCCATCGCAAAGCACCGCTATGGAGAATCGCCCAGGCCGGCTGCACCAAAACCCCGCCAGGTTTCCAAGGTAAATCTCCCAGGGAGCTGTAGCTGCTGTAGAGTTTTCAGTGGGGTCTGCAGGGCTGGCTCTGAGCCCCTGGCAGCCTGGGGACCTGCAGCCAGCTCCTGGTCCCCTCTGGGACGTGGCAGTGCCACTCCCAGCACTGTGGGACTGCCGGGGTGTTTGGGCACAGGGCTGGCACAGGTGGCAGCAGTGACAGGGATGTGTGTCCCCATGCTTCAGCTCATCTGCTGCGTGGTTTAGAATCTCATCCACGTGCTGTAGTGCTTTCCGTTCGGGTCTTTGCTATGAGTTTCACCAGGATTGTAAGAGACTTCCTTTTGGAAATTCACGGGAATTTTGTTGAAAAAATTATCAAGACTGCTCATTTTGCCGAAGGCAAAAGACGGTTTCTTGAAAAATTTAATGTATTGCTTTTACTGTTTGTGTTATAAAGCATATATGAGGAGAGCTTTTTTTCTCTTCTTTACTCCATGTTCTGTCATTCTTGTGTAACATCATCATATTCTTGGAGAATTTACATTGTATGTGGTATGAAACCTACCATGACCTCTGAAAACAATACATCCTTTAATGTGGCTTCGGGGAGGGGCTAGCGAGGGAGTAGCCATAAAAATCTTCAGGGTTCAAGATGAGGTTGAGGTTTTTGTGAGTGCTTTTGTCGTAGCAGCAACTGTTTGATTTAGTGGCCCCTGCTACAATGGGTTGGGAGAACAAAGCCAGAATATCCCGTGTATGAGTTTGTTAAATGTAAGACCCGTCAGGAAAATTGGGGAAGGGGGTAGGGGGAAGCTTCCTCAGCTCTCTCTCTGAAATAAAACAGGTATTTGAAAAAAATTCTTACCAATTGCTTTGTGTCCTAATCTGTGTTGTCTTGTGTAGCGTTTGAAACCAGAGGAATCAGTGAGATGAGAGGTGACAGGGAGGAGGGAGGGCTTATTCACTTAAAAATTGCTATTCTTGTTATCTGTTTTGATATTCTAGTGAAATTTCAAGGCTAAGGGAGTTCAGAGCACTCTCAGTGCAAAACTGCGTTAGATTTGCTGGTGCTTTACCATTTCTGTGCAGTTCCCTGTGGTTCTGCCCCTTCTCTCCCATCCTTCACCCACACCAGGGGCTGCATTATGTGGGGTGAAAACTGGCAAAGGTTAGGAGCAGCAAACCCGTGGGCCTGGCCATGGTCCCTGCAGGATTTTTAAAAGATCTAACCTCTAAGGCTTTCTGTAGGCCATCATTTTTCATCTGCCATTTGTTAGTGGGGAGCACAGCCACCTCCGTGGTCCCTGGGCTCTGTCTTTGTTCCCGGGGTGTGCCGCTGCTGTTTGCAGCTCTAACCTGCAGGCCCAGGAGCAGTTTCTGCTGGAGGTGAGCGCAGTTCCTGTGGCCGTTCTCACCGTGGGCCATGGAGATGGAGATGGAGATGGAGATGGCGAGGGAAGGTTCTGGTTCCTCCTCGCTTCAATCATCCGGGCTTCCCGCACTGCCGGGTGACGGCCCCATTCTTCCCACAACAAAACCAGCAGTGCCTGGGAATGGGCCCTC